GAGGCCGCTTCGCGGCTCGGTAAATATCCACTGCTAACCACCTCCATTTCGGTGAATAGTTGTTAATTATTCTTACTCAATGAAAGGTGCTTCTTTTCAGTATATTATTTATGCACACTCAGGGCTGTCAATAAGTTTGAAAGTAAACGGCAATTAGGAAATGGTAGACAATTGGGTTGTTGTTGATAGTATGTTTTAGTTTTTGCCAGATACCAATAACTCATAAGACAGGAAATTATTCTCTTAAAATTTCCCAGGTTTTCCATGAAGTTTGCATGAGCCTTTAAAGAAAAGCCTGAATGAGAAATTCATTCATACATGTAAACCTGTTACTGGCAGATTTGACCCAAAACTGGGAAATAGTTGCTGTGCAAATTTCTTTGATGTTATTGCAATGGTCATGACTTTTCATCAGTACAGTTGAACCTGTTTTTAAGCAGTCAGCCATGGGGAATGGTAGGGTGATTGCTTTTTACAGGTTGATTACTTAAATACAGGCTCCATAGATTATGGGGGGGGGGGGGGTATTACATAAAAATGATAAACAATGCCACTTTATGCCATATTAGTCCTTTTTACAGTTGTGGGCTTGGTGGCCAAGCCTTTGAACAGGAGCGAGGCTAAAGGGTGACCTTGTTATGATAGAGATGTAGCTGCTTTTCAAATGCAAATTTCTTTGTTATCATGCTAAGTACATACAGGTCTCTATCACAACAGGGTCACCCTTAGCCTCACTCCTGTTCAAAGGCTTGGCCACCAAGCCCACAACTGTAAAAAGGACTTTTGACCACTTAAATGTACAGAATCTTGCTTGAAATACTACTTACTTTGATTTAGGGAGAGAAACACGGATAAAAAATTACTTAACGATTATTCTTAGTTTCATTTGAATAATTCCACTCACTGTTCAATATTGGGGGAGGACATTGAAAAAATGCAGTTGGGACTTGGTAAAGAGTAAGGGAGACCACTAAATAGAGGTGAACATTACAGTGATTAAGGGGAAACAAATTCAGGACTTTGGCAACAAGTGCTTTATTCAGGGTGACCGCTCAACACGGCGGTGCCACTCGATACAGGTTCAACTGTAGTTATGGTAAAGGGAAGTTAAAGCAGTGGATTAAGGATAGCAGGCAGTTTTGACAGGCTATCTGCTCTTTTTTGACAGCTCGAAACACTCAATTGCCTTTTTAATTAATTTTGTCTTGCTTTATTTTTTTTACCAAAGACAAAGGTGCATGTCTGTCATTGAAGGGAGTGATCATCCATCACGACTTGACATGGTAGGTGAACTGGTATATGTATATGTGTTGTTTTGTATGAAGGTTTTGTTTGTTCAAAGACTAGGCAGTAATAATCAGCTGAAGATATTTTCTGTTCTGATTTGATACGTCAATGATGAAGAGCGACATCGGCACCACAGTAGAAGGTTACAAATTTATTTCAAACCTTGGATGGTACACAATAGATTTTTATTGCCAGGCAATGGCATGATGTGTCCAAAGAATAAATAAAATAATAAACTGAAATGCAGTCATTTTAGTAACTTACTTCGTAATCATTATTCCAAACAGTTGGTTACCTTATCGTTGAAAATACTCTCCAGCTCCTAGGACTTCACGTCAGCGCTTTTGTCCTTTAGTGTTAACTGATATCAAATTCATATCCACATTTTCAAAACCCAATATCAGCCTTTTTATTGACAGCAAATGCATACTAATCTTGTCAAAAGCATGCCAAGCATTTTCCGTGACTCCTTAGGCTCATGTCCAATGACCGCTTTTCAATATGGTTTTTTTTTTTTTTTTTTTTTTTTTTTTTTTTTTCAACCAACACCACTACAGACCAGACTAGGTGAAGTTCCAACCTACTTGATACGGCGCTCACAGTCTGCAACATTTGAACATGACCTGGGAAACCTGCTGGATGCGTCAAGTAAGAATTAAGCATTTAGGCACTTGAAATAGGTTCTAATACAAATGATCATTATCGGTAGTCAGTGTGGAAAGCCCATTGAACGAACAAAACAAAAATGTCTGAAAAGTCACCTTTCTTACTGACCCTCGCTTGAGACTTGTGCATGCGTTCTTTTTATCAGCACAATTTTAAATTTGTTTAGCGTGTGAATTAGTACAACATATTTAGCGAGGTTCCTTTTGATTCGTAATGATTTCACTTTTCTCTGAAAAACTACGAGTTCCATCACATCTTCCTTTCTACATAGGCGAATACACAGGAACTTTAACAACTTAATAATTATCTTTCTTGTAAGTGCAAGATTATTTTAACCTGACAAAGTTGTCTGCTTGTTCTTTGCCTTTCTGTAGCAAACAAAGACGTTGTTGGAGATTTTAGTGGGGTAAGTTTAAAGATTTTAATGTTTTTTTCTTCAGTGCACAATTTAATAGCCCTTCGCTGTATGTTTGCATTGTTTTGAAAGAGTAATATTTACGTAAAACCTTTGTTTGTATATATTATTCCTCAAATGCGTGTTTATTTTCTATTTTTGTTTTTATTACAGCCATACACTTTACCGTTGATACCGGGACAATATAAAGACTTGAAATATCTTTCTCCAGAAACGGTAATTTGAGGTTTTGCTATACACCAGGTAGCGTTTAAGCTTCCTTCTCAGAAACACAGCGGTTGAATGTCAGGCTAAAGCGAGGAGTTCGATTTTGGTCAGTCTGCGCCAAATTTTTCCCGCGCAAAATTGCAGTGGAAAAAATAAGTAATAATCATTGTCACGTAAAATATACGAAAAATAAAAATTGAAACATCGATGAAAAATCTGCTGAAGGAAACAAAAAGGGGAAAGAAAAAGTCGAGACTTTTTTAACACGAAGCCTATTTAAATACAGTATCCTGTTGATGTACCATTTTGTTTTGTGCTTCTTCAAAAAAATAAAACGCGGTAATGTATTGTTTTGTGTGTATGTTTGAAACTCTTGTTATACAATGTTTCTGACAGCTTGAAAGCACACCACCTCTCCATTTTCCCCAATTGGTTTAACAATACTCAGCCAAAATGCGTTATAATGCCTTTTGCGGTTTCTTTCAGGTTGCGCGTGTCTTGGATGATGAGTTTCCTGAAGTGGAGGCTCATATCATTGATTGCCGCTACCCTTACGAGTACAATGCAGGTCACATAAAGGTAAGTACATCATAGATACTGTCTTTGTTGAAACAATGACGTTTACAGTACGTTATTCATAGTGCATACGGCACTTGTATGGAGTCTTTAATTCTTAATAGAACTTTCAAATTGGAAATTTGTAAATAAAGGCAAACTCTCAGGAAAATGCTGTAAGAAGTACTTTACAGTACTTACGGTATAGACTTTTATGTGGTTAAAGTTCTTCTGATTTACGTTTGTTAAAACTTGGATGGTGCAATCGAAACATTTTTAACTGAGAAGCTGGCCCCTCGACAAGCGCTCCTTTACTAAGATCTTGTAATCTTAGACGCTTCCTCGTGTTTGGAAAATGGAAATAAAAGAGAAAGACATCTGGTTCAAGTTTACAATTTTATAAAAGTGATTACGAACTCTGTTTATCCTTGTTTAAACATTTTTGGTTTAATTGCCTTGGTTTTTGGATCTAACAGGTAAGTACCAAAGCTTTGTAATACTTTGGCGCGCCGAGCAATTGGCTACTCTTAGCGTTCTCCAGGTTTTTGCCTCCCACATAGCGCATTGTCACCTGAGTCAACAACAGCATAGCTAAATGTCTTGGTGTCATTTATGCTCCATTTCACTTTTCACAGGGTGCGAGAAATATTTACACTAAGGAGGAAATTGAGAGTGAATTCATTGAAAAGCCGAAGAGAAGCTTAACGGGAAAGAAAACAATTTTGATATTTCACTGTGAATTCTCATCCAAGAGAGGACCAGATATGTGAGTACTGTTTCAGAGTGTTTACTTTGATTGTCAGTCTTTACTTCAGTGTTTGAAATCTAGAATAGAAACGTAAGGTCGTCCGCGTCGAAAGAAGGCTGTTGTTGGACGTTTAGTCATACAGTGGTCTTGCAACTGTGTCGTCAGTGTCGCCTTCCCGCGCTTTCAAAAGCGCGGGAAAAAAGTGACCGTGTCGCGATTGGTCAAGTTGGCATCTGATTGGTGGAGACAAAAGAGAGAGCTTTCTTAGACCAACTATAGAGTGCACTGGGGCAAAACCAATATAATCTCGGATCCTTTTCCATGTTTCTTTGAAAATTTCACGTGTGCCGTTTTCTTTTTAGGTCTCGTTTCTTACGGAACAGGGACCGTGATGTTCACTACCAGGTGTATCCAAAGCTGTTTTACCCTGAACTGTACCTCATAGAGGGCGGTTACAAAGCATTTTTTGCGAAGTGCAAGGTCAGTCACGTTTTTGTTGATGTTCCTGAGCTCTCGTGGGATTGATTGATAGTTCCATGTAACGGGTTAAAAAATGAGCGGATTGAGGAGGTCTGTGTTTACGGCTCGGTGGGAGTCATCGTTTTGTACTTCTAAGTCATACACTCGTTAGGACCTCGCATACAGTTGAGCTGGAATCGTAAACAACTTAAGCTTACACTTCTCAAATTCGCAGAGTCTGTTTGTTTAATGAGAGTCAGCACCATGAAACGGTAAACGTCACGTAAAAAAACGTTTCTCGTAAAATAGCGTGAAACGTTATTTCGCGTGAGCTCACGTCATGGTCGATTTGAAAGCGCCCTTGTACTACTTTTACAAGGAATAGTTTTGGTGCTCTTTTTCCAGCAATTAATTTCTACTAAGAAAATCTTACGTAAACGGACAACGCGAAACAGATTACTTTCACGTGGAAACGGCAGAGCGCAACCGGAAAGCTTGAAAAAAATGGCGGGGGAAATAAGGTCACGTGGTCACTCTTACCGTTCACGTTTCGCGTAAACGCGGTGCTGAATATTAATGTCACCGCTCCTCTGGGAACCTCATTGCGTGATGTGAATCAGACTGACTGTGATTCTGGCTGAAACTCATCCGCAATCAAGTTGGAACGCTACAGAAAAAGAGTAACTTGCTGTGGTGCGTTAGGCGTAAGAAAAACTCTGCTGTTTTGACTTTAGAATACGAGAGCACTCTAAGCTGGTGGACTCAGCAAGAAAGAAAGACTAACTGTATGACGTTGGTGCGTCCTCTCCCGCACCGCTCGCAAATGGAAATAACATGCTCCAGGCGTTGTTGTTTCAGCCTTTTTTTCTTTTTTTTTTTTTTTCAGGAACATTGTGACCCCCAATGCTACTTGCGAATGTCAGATGAAAAACACGCACAAGACTTAAAGCTGTTCTCGAAGAGATCGAAATCAGACGGAAACATTCTCACAAAAGGATTTCGACCGGGATTAGGATATAAACGCTAGATTGCTCGGATCGCCTTCGTTGTGGTTTTAATCTCTTAATCAATCTGTTCTCGATTCTACGAAAATCCCTCTCGCCTCTAAATTGATTTTGTAATACAAATATCGTCCCCTCTCTAGGCAAAACCGTATTCTTTCAGTCCATTAATTTATTTATAATCCAGGCCCCGGTTGTTAGAAGGTTGGATGACGCTATCCACTGGATAAATCCCTATCCGGTGGATAGCTCACCACATTTTTGACACCTGTCGGCTGGACGGCATTATCCGCCCTTTGAACAAGTGGGGCCAGTTCAATTCTTGTTTTCTAGCTTTCAATTGGAAATTTCCTCATTCCTTCAACGAAATAGCTTCTCATATTTTTTCTGTTGGAATCGTTCGATAGTGAGCTAAACAAACATGGCCTAACCACATAATTTAGATTAAATTTTACAAGATCATTTTTTGTCAAATACAATTATATTGATAATTATGCTTTACATAGACTTACGCGATCAGCGAGCTCTTTTGATTGAACTTAAAGAATCTCAACGGTTCGCTATAAATTGAAACAGACGAAGTGTACTCAGCGTGCACCGGTTGTGGTCAGGGATTTTCTCGGGCGCTAGATTCTCCTTTGACTTACCTCGAGTAGTTATTAAGGAATTTTCTGTAGCCAAATAAATTCACGACTGGACTGTCTGGTGATTATTTCTGTTGTACCACTTTCGTTTTTCTTATGCTTTCTTTTCTGTTTTATGACAAACGCAGAATTCTTTTCTCAGCGCTATTGTATCGTAGTATTTATTGTGAAGAACTTTGTAAATAACTCCTTGCTAGAAACCAAAATAAAGTATTTACCTTGGATAAAATTGGAGGGAAGTGGAAATTTCCGGCAAAATTCACCCTCGGTCTGGCTCTTCCTGAGCAAAACAGGATCCAAAAATGCGGAATGATATTTATACTCAGACTATGTTGAAGGAAAAGTTTCAGCGTCTAATAAAAGCGACCTAGAAATTGGTACCTTGAAATTTCCGAAAAAAGAAAATCCCGAGAACCAAGTCTTTGGATCTGGCCCTGACAATTTGTCCTACTTTAGACACTAGTGGCCGATTTCCGATTTTGGACAGTAGCGGCTGATTTCTAATTTTGGACACTTATGGTCGACTTCCGATTTTGGGCCCTATTGGCCGATTTCCAATTTTGGTCTCTTGTGGCCGATTTTCCAATTTTGGACACTAGTTATCAGTGACATATAGTAATCACTGGTAGCCGATATCCGACTTAGGACACAAAGTCGCCTTCTCTTTTTCTTCCCCGTCACCCTTTTCTCTTCCACTCTTGCGACGCACATATTTATTGCAGACCGGAGCCGAGTCTGGATCTGACCAGCCAGAGCAAGCTCTTCCTGGGAGGATTTCCTTGGCTTCTACTTCGGTCGCCATCTTGAAAACCAAGCAGGTCCTCGGGCACAAGTTGAAATCAATATTTTAGAGACGCTCCGTTTATTTTTAAACAGCTCTCTGCTGTTTTCCATTGTCTCCACTTAAGAGACCAGCTATCTTGATTTTGTGATAATACCGATTTCAGATGGATAATACATGAGCGATGAAGAGCAAGACAAAAAAAAAGCGTTTTGATTTCAGTCGATCATATCAGATGAGATCAAAGAATTTTGAATCAAAATTCTTGCTTTCTTATATGTTATTAACTGTTATTCACAATGTTCTTGTCCATTTTGGGTTCGTAATTCATTTTTCATCTTTATCATTCCTTATCTAAGTTCGGGCCAATAATGGTTTGCGATCGCATCGTCGTGTCAGAAGCGGAGTTGCTCACGGCCGTGTGGCAGGCTATGTTTTGATCACTGTGTTCTCAGTGTTCTACAGGTACCAGATGCAGAGAAAATTTGAAGGGTAATAGGAGAAAACAAAATGTTAACTGTGTAAATCGAAATGTTCACAAAATATTTTTTAAGTGTTACCTGTTTTTAAAAGTCTGTTTTGCCGTCTGTTTATGCTTTTAAGCCATTCCTGCGCGAGTTATGGATAAATATCAGATAAATAATTGATTTCAAGAGGTATAAGTGAGAAGTTGTCTGAGTGCTGTGTTCGCGATGTTGATCTTTGAGTAGTTAAATGTATCGGATGTAACTTATTTGCAATCATTTAAACAGGATGAAGAGCGATTGGCCTGGGTTGCTACGGTGAGTATCGTAACTTGAAACCCGTAGACAGCACAGACCATGCAGGTATAAAAAAGACTTGATTGTTCTATGTGTGCAACTTTTAGAAATGCATAAATTTGTCTTCAGTGCAACCTGTTACTCGTTTGAGACGTTTATCCCAAGGGTTTAAACTCCCAGTTATTGAGTGTGTGTGTGCTAGCTATCTTGTAAAACGGCAACGCATATTCAACTTCTACCTTCTCGAATTTCAAGCGGTATCAGCTAATGTCATGGAAATATATGGTGAATCCTAAGGTTAATTCAGGTTTAAACCCCACATAATTTATTAATCATAATTGCGTGTTATTCTTTGTGAAACTGTGATAGCGACGATTGCTACGTACTGTAGCGCGACTTACGCTAATTTTCGAAAACACGGCCGGGTTGATCAAAAAAATTGTTTTTTGTCCGAGTTCACGCAGTTGTTCATATTGTACTCTAGAGGGCAAATTTATATATTACGACGCGCTTAATGTGATATGCTAATTTCCGTTAAGTCCCCACCTGTTGAAAATTTCTAGCTAGAATCCCAGATGTATCGTAGCCATTTTGTCAATCCAAAGTGCCCTAAAATCTATTAATTAACAGCTGGACTTAAAGGGGATATTTTTATAAATGCAAAAAATATGAGAAGCCTTTACAATGGTACACCTATCAAATTTCGGTATTGTTTATTTTTTTCCCTCTTTTTTTATTATTTCAGGTTTGTTTTAGTTCTTTTAAGCTCGCATCACGTGTTTGGAAAGAAAGAAAGGAAGAAATCAAACTGGGTAGCGCCCAGACCCCACATCATCATGATTGTCGCTGATGACCTGGTACGGGGGTTTTTAGTTTTCTGTTGTTAATGATAATTTTATTGAACCTCAAAGCGTATAAAAGTTCAATGCAGGGCTGGAAAGTTGCACAGGGGCATATTGTTTCTAATGGCATAACAGTTGCACCTGTTGTTTTGTATAGTTGATTTGTTTCGTGGTAGGGCGGATTCCAAAAGTATAGCAATAGGCCATTTTACAGTTGTGTGCTTAGTTGCCAAGCCTTTGATTTGGAGTGAGGGTGAAGGTGATCTTGCTGTGATAGAGACTAGTATCTAGTTAGCATGATAACGAAGTGATTTACATTTGAAAAGTAGCAACGTTTGTGTCATAACAAGGTCACCCTTTGCCTCAATCCTGTTCAAAGGCTTGGCAACCAAGCACGTAATTGAAAAATGGACTATTTATGTAGTTCAACTAAATGTTTTCCAAACAAAAAGGTTGTTAAATGCTTTGATTCACCTGAAGATCCAGATCTCATATTTGCTTGCGTCAAGACATGACTCGTCATCAGTTGGATCCATTAGAGAGCGACACAATTTATTTTGTTCGCCTTCCGTGCAATCAACCGAAAAGCGTGTATCTCTTTTGAACCGATTCGTCTTTACAGGGCTGGGATGACGTCAGTTTTCACGGATCACCCCAGATTCCTACTCCGCACATCGACAAACTGGCCAATGATGGAGTTATTCTTAACAGTTACTACGTATCGCCGATTTGTACTCCTACCCGGGCCTCTCTCATGACTGGAAAACACCCGGTCAACTTAGGTACTGTTAAACAGCTTATGCTTAAGCTTATTTTTTCATTTTTTGCTTTTTCGAATCTTTCGGCACTGACAAAACAAGTGATTTTCTCAAGGGCGATAAAAGCTCTCAGCGTTTTTATATGGCTTTGGTGCAGTCAAAGTGGGGGAATGATAGTAAATTTTCAGGTAAAAAAAAATTGAGTCCCTTTGGAAGCCTTGGTTACGTCTCGACTCGGGATAAAATCAGACGGATTATCATGCTACGGTATAGCGAATTCCTTACACTTGCAAAAATGCATCTCCACTCTAGTGTAGAGTAGAACAAACCTCTCGCATGTGCCATGCTACGCTGATGAAACGTAACAAAACTAAACAAAGACGAAACAGTTAGTTCATGATTGTAAATGTCCGCGGGCTCCCCAGAAGTGATATGATTGCCCTGCATGCACTGCTAGCCTCCAGGTCGTGGAGTTGTGTGGTGGGTCCATTCTTTCTGATCATTTATGTCAGAGATATGTTCTGGAATACGCAAACGTATCGAACAGTTCAGAAGGCACTTCACCAGCATGTATCCTGTACTAAGCTTTCAGTTGGTAAAACGGAGTGAAATAGTGAATAGCGCAATAGTATTGGTGGAGCAAAATCGAGGGAGGCCTGGTTCGGGTCGTTTTTTCACTCCCCGCGTTTCATTTTCTGTACTAAACGCTTGAGCCGGGCTCTAAAAGAAGAAAAACAGAGAAAGCATAGCTAGCATCGTACTTCTCCATCTGAAGCCATACTAAGGCACCTAGCCATTATACCTTGAGAGATGATACCAACAACCGTTCTCACGCGTGTTTTCACATTGCGTCAGGCATTCAGCATGCTACCATATTTGGTACGCAACCGTACGGTCTTCCATTGGGTGTGGCTACCACCCCTCAGTACCTTAAAGCTCTAGGGTACAGGACACATGGCGTGGGCAAGGTAGGTTCTAACAATGGGTTACACCTTAGTCATGATAGCGAGTGTAAATCAGATAGCCACCTCTAACCTCTGGAATGACCTTCCAATTGCAAGTGGTGTCAGAAACGCCGGTAAATAATGCAAAAAAGCTATCAAGACCTATGCATTTGCCAAAGCTTTCAATTCTACACCTCATTTATTTATGTGTCTTAGTTCTACATTTCGTAGCTAGTAAATTTACATTTTAGCTTTTAGCTTCAATTCTTAGATACTCTACAGGCTTCACAGCCAATCAAACTGTGCGACGACGGCATGCCTAAAGCTATACGTCAAGGCTTGTTCCGATTTATTTTGCAAAAGGATTTGTTATCATTCCAATATACTATTGAGATTTTTTTTTTCAAGTGGCATTTGGGATTCTTCGAAAAGGAATACACTCCGCCTTACCGTGGATTTGAGACTTACTATGGATTTTGGAATGGAAAAGAGGACTACTGGGACCATAGTTCACAGGAAGATGTATGGGGTACAGATCTCAGAGATAACATGAAGGTGAAAATTTCACAAAGAGCAATATTGTGTAATTGATTTCAGGCACTACGTGCTACCCTTAAAATGAAAACAATAACCAGATTGTGACAGTAGGGGGAAAAAATGCGTGAATTACGCACAAGAAAACTCTCAAGGGAACAAATTGCAACCAAATCTTGCAACCGATTGGTTAAGGTGGTGGCGTAAGTTTTTACGATCAATCAACTCGCCACGAAAATGAGGCAAAACCAGAGCAATCTTGGTTTACAGTCTGTATTCATATAAAATCGCTCTATACTCTTTAGTCTCAGTTTGTCACTTTCCTCCCCCGCTGCCCCCTCCAAAAACAACTACCCTAGCATAAAAGAGATGAGGTAAAATTCTGAATTAATTAATCAATTAACGGCTTGAAATAGCTTTACCTTTGCCGGAATATTGATTACTCTGGTGTCTTGGCAGCCTGTGAAGAACGAAACTGGCCATTATGGAACAGAACTGTTCTCAGAAGTGGCTGAGCGAATCATTGATACTCACAACAAGTCTGAACCACTATATCTGTATCTTGCTCAACAAGGGGTGCACTCAGCCAATGGTAACGAGCCCTTACAAGCACCAGAAAGACTTGTTAATGTAAGTAAAGATCCGTAACTCTTTATTCCTTAGGCCATCATTGTTTCCCTCCTTGAATGTTTGTCTGTTCACCCTCCTATATATGAAGCGACTGACCGTCTGTGCAACCTTCATGTCTCTTTATCCGAACGATTGTCTTTCTTCTGCTGTCTCGCACCTGTCGTTCTGCCTTTATGTATCTGTATTTCCGTCTATCCAACGTCTAGCTCTCTCTTCGCATGTCTGTCTGTTCTTCTGTCTACCTGCATGTGCGTCTGTCTATTTGTCTTTTATCTGCCTATTTGTCTGTTTGTCCACATATCTGTCTGTCTGTTCGTCTGTCTAACTGCGAGTGCGTCTGTCCATCTGTCTATCTATCGTTCATCTGTCTATCTGTCTGTTTGTCCGCATGTCTGTCTGTCAGTTTGTCTGCCTATCTGCGCGTAGGTCTGTCTGTCTGTCTATTTGCCCGCATGTCTGTCTGTCTGTCAGTTTGTCTGCCTATTTGCACGTAGGTCTGTCTATCTGTCTGTTTGTTCGCATGTCTGTCTGTCAGTTTGTCTGCCTATCTCCACTTAGGTCTGTCTGTCTGTCTGTTTGTCCGCATGTCTGTCTGTCAGTTTGTCTGCCTATCTACAACTAGGTCTGTCTATCTGTCTGTTTGTCCGCATGCCTGTTTGTCAGTTCGTCTGCCTATCTGCACGTAGGTCTGTCTATCTGTCTGTTTGTTCGCATGTCTGTCTGTCAGTTTGTCTGCCTATCTACACGTAGGTCTGTCTATCTGTCTGTTTGTCCGCATGCCTGTTTGTTAGTTCGTCTGCCTATCTGCACGTAGGTCTGTCTATCTGTCTGTTTGTTCGTATGCCTGTTTGTCAGTTCGTTTGTCTATCTGCACGTACGTCTGTTCATCTGTCTATCACTTATCTATCTGACTGTCTGTCTATCTGTCTTTTTGGCTGTCTGTCTGCCTGATTGTATAACATTCTATCTGAGTAAATCTTAATGTCTTTGCGCCTGCGTGTCCTTCTGTTCGTTATCCCAGCCGTCACAAGTTTACTGCTGTGCAAGTTAAATGTGTTCTCAACTTGTTTCGTGTTTTAGTCGTATACCAATAGGGTTAGAAATACATTTATCCTGTTTTATCCTTTATTTTTCAGAAATTCCAGGATATTGTTTATGACGACAGAAGGACATATGCTGGTATGGTAGCCTCTTTGGACGAGTCCGTTGGAAATATAACCGAAGCCCTAAAAAGAAATGGAATGTTTGACAACTCTGTAATCGTTTTTACGACCGACAATGGAGGTGCTCCAAGAGGATTCAACTGGTAAAAGATTCATACCTGACCTTCCAGTGAACAAAAACAAACCATAAACCCTCGTGGGTAAAGATAAACATGAATATATTTTTCGTGTGATCGACAACCCCCCTAATCTCAAAAACGGCGAGTGGATACCTTACTGCGCAGCAGCATTTTCCTTCCCCTCCCCTCCCCTCCTTAGTGTTCCATCCTTAGTTCGTTGTTTTAATACTTCAAAACTCAGGTGATAAGAACTTCACAAAATGATTTGCAAGGGTTGCTATTAATGGTTGTAGCAGCCTAGTTCAATTTATTTTGTTTATCTATACCCAAAAGTCTTAGCTTAACATCTTCAATTCAATTCCCTTCATTACTCTCTCAGGAATCAAGGCTGTAACTACCCACTCAAAGGAGGTAAAGACACATTCTGGGAGGGAGGGGTCCGTGGAGTGGGATTTGTCCATAGCAACCTGATCAAAAACAAAGGTCGTGTCAGTTATGACTTGATTGACGTCACAGACTGGTTACCAACCTTCTATCATCTGGCTGGAGGTGACATCACCAAGATCAATGATAAGATCGATGGTATGAATGTGTGGGATACCATAGCGCATGGAAAGAAATCTCCGAGAACGGAGGTAAAAATCAAAAGTATAACTAAATATGGTTTATATGGTTTGCGAAAATTCGTACGTAATGACTATAAATTAATGGGTTAATGTTTTTTTCTTTTCAGGTCCTTCACAACATTGATCCAATCCGTAAATTTGCAGCCATTCGCGTAGGTGACTACAAATTGATTATCAATCAGGACGCTGTATTCAACACAACGTGGCATCCGCGTTATGAAGTCAAGGGAGGACTGGACTCTCTTCCCCAGCCCTCTACGTTACCTGGTGCTGTTATCAAGTGTGGCAAGCGGCCCAAGAGCAAAAAGGCTGCTTGTGACACGAATGAATTTCCCTGTTTGTTCAATGTTAGAAAAGGTGAGCATCTTATAACTACTTGCCTATAAAGCAGATTGGGCAAACGACACGTCTGGTTCGATAAGTCACCTTAACAAAGGCAATTTCGATCTCTGCGCGGTTGACGCTTGAACAGAACCACCAGTTACGCGGTTTAAGGATGTTTCTTACCCTAAGAATTAGTCCGTAATGTTTCTATTATGTTTCTTGGGTAGATCAGTTTCTCTTATTTATTTTTTCAGATCCCTGCGAATATAGGAATCTTGCGCACATTCATCTGCCCAAAGTAAGGAAGCTTCTTCGCAGACTCATTCACTACCAGAAAAATGCCCTTCCTGTGTGGTTCCCTGAGAGAGACCGTACCGCTAGTCCAGCAGATCACGATGGTTACTGGGGTCCGTGGAAATCCTCAAAAAGTAATAAGGCTATTTTACAAAAGGTTCTCGACTCCATTCCGTCTGCTGAGAATGCGAAGAAGCACTCACGTCATACAAATAGCACTGTCACTACCACGAGGATTGGGAAGGCGTTCAGCACACACGAAGAGCACAACAAAGGAGTTTATCAGATGTTGAAGTCAATTTTGAATATTACAAATACAGGCAAGAAGGTTCAGATTCCTCGTAACCGTCATTTGATGAAGGAGTCGTTAGCTTTGTTGTATGCCAAAATGATACAGAAGACAAAAGAGGATGACCTGATGCACAAATTGCAAATGATAAAGAAAGAAATAATAGCCAAGATTGGTGGTGTTAGGTCAAAGAAAGGAGAGAAAGAGACTTTAGCAGCTAAAGTAAGTCCCATTGACAAGTCCTCAGTTATAAGGAAATTAGAAATAACCGCAAATAAACCTGGCAATGTGGAAAAACAAGGAAAACGAAGAACAGAACTGGGGAACATCGCGACTAGAGATGATGAAATTGTTAAAAGTGAATTTGACATTTCCACAACGGAAGATAGAGATTTGAGAGACAACGACCAAAATTTAGAAGGGATGTCTTCTTTGAAGGCAACCTCGAACACTAAACAAAATAATGTCGAGGAAGATGATTTAATGGACAATGCTGACATTGACACTAATGACCCAGCGGATGGTGGTAGTGATTTAGAAGAGGATTCCTCACATGAACACCCTACCATTGAAAGTCAAACATCTGCAAAGGAATCCGAAATGGATTTTCAGGAGAGCCATCGCATCGTTGATGAATACTGAATAACAAACCATCCTCTCAGCGTTGGGGGAGGAGGGACCCTGGCAACGAGTTTTTGAAGTAATCGTAATGCGTCGGACAGGGCGTCGGACAATTCGAAGCCGTCCCTCTCCAGGTAACCCCTGGGCATTTGAACCTTTGAGATGGTTTGTTCAAATTCCCGCTCCACGAGGCAAAAACTGAGTTTAACTGCCCTACTCAAGTGTTGGATTTGATGGTCAATTTTTTTGTAAATGGAAAAATCACGGCCAGTGACTTCCTACTCATTGGCCTTCAAGAATTTAAATCGTAGAGCCAAGCAAGGCTCAGATTTCCCACCCCTGGGCACAAACGACAGTCAAATGCTTGCGGGTTACCCGTGACACGGGTGGTAAAACTTCGAATTGATCGGCACATAACGGCCATTCTAAGAGTTGTCATCATATGGCTGGCTCCATATGGGCGTTAACCTGTAGAGCAGGTTTAAATCTTTGTTGCGTCTCTCAGGCGCAAGCGAGAAGCGAAAGCGAAGAGCGCGTCACGCAAGGCCATTCGCGCGTGGCTTTCCCTTCACGCTAGCCTCGCCCTTCCCTCCTCAGTCCCGCTCGGCTGTAAGACAAAAACATGACACCTTTCCGCAGGCTACAGAGGTGACCTCATTTTCGTCTTTATAAATGTGTCATGCATTTCTATGAGTAAGTATTTAAGACTTCACCAGCTAGCTCTTTTGTTTTCGACATTGAAATTAATTAATGAAGAACTCTATATATGATGCATTTCCCTAGAGAGGAGAGGAAATTTTATCTGCGGGAAATTCCTGCAATGTATCCATAGTAACAGTGGGCTGTAAATTGAAAGACCCATGTTCTTCTAAGCGGCAGATAATTAAAGCATCTTCTTTCGTTTTCTTCGAAATTGTTTTATTACCTGTAATAATCAGGAGAGCAGTTGAAGCATTTGCAATTTAGAGAAAGACCGCTAGCTGTCATCATATTTGTCATGGTTTTTATCATCATATTTAACACCACTTGGAAATGTTATTCTAACATGTATTCAAAAGTTTTAATCAAAATGAGAAAAAAAAAACATCAAAGATAGCAAGCCCCATTTCCTCGAATAAGCATCTGGATGCTTATTTCAAATTCCGGCTAAAAGGCATGGGCGCTTTTTGGAAGAAGGGCGCTTAATTATGGGGGGTACTTACAAATAAATTATTGACTGAGGGGGTGGGTGTTTATTCGAAGGAGGGTACTTATTAGGGCGTGGGCGCTTACTCGCGGAATTACGGTACTCTCTTGGTGTCATGCCATGCCATTTTTTCATTTTGAAATAGATAGAGGCCTTAGCTTTGAGCCCAAATAAAGTTAACATTAGCCCTTGGGTCAAACTTTTCTCCTTATCAGCACAATCGGGTGATTACCGGATTAAAACAGAGACAAACGAGAATCGTTTAAGAATTTTTTTATATTTTATCTACAGCTGTGTTCGAAAGCAACGCGATGATGACAGGTTAAAACCAGTCTTCACCTAAAGGTAGAGCACATTTCCGATCGAATGTCGTAAAACCGTAACCATAGGAATCACAACAGGTAATCAGAAGAAAGGAAGATACCTTTAAGAGCCAATGAGAACTCGAAGTAAAAACAACCAAACTGCTAAAGCGCGGGAAAACGCAGGCGACCAAGTAGTGATTGGTTTTAGCTTAGTATCTGATTGGTTGAAAGAGTAGTGCGAGTTTACTGGACCAATCACAGAGAGAAGTAAAGCGAAACCAATGCAATCTCGGATTCCTTTTCAACACTACTCAATTAAATATTGATACATTCTCAAATTTAATACTCATAGTTTACTAAATTCTGAAAGCAACATCAATTCATTGTTCCACTTTTCTACGGATAAATCTCGCCCCTTTTACGTTTATCTACTTCATTAAGAAAATTTTTCAACATGCTTTCAAATTCCTTGCTCTGTTCATTATAGATACTTAAAGACTCTTCATCCAGTTCTGTCGCATCCATTGTAATATTTTTGCGTTTAGAATGATTCTTTTTATTAACTGAAGGTATACTCTCAATGACTTCCTTCAAAATAGCTTTGTTAGCTTCTGACGACCTCCAGGGACCCCAAAACCCGTCGTGATTTTCTGGGTTCGCATCGCAATCTCTTTCCGGGAACCATACAGGAACGGCCTTTTTGTTATAATGAATGAGCCTTAAGATAAGTCGTTTAACTGTGTCAAGGTTGGACTGAGCAATATTCTTGTACTCACACGGATCTGAAAAATGAATTCAAAAAATTAAATTAAATTTAAAATTAACGGAAAATATTGTATGTATGTATGTATCTATGTCAAGCTTTATTGAGCAAGATCAAAAAATGAAAATATGCAGACATAAACAATTAAACCCCAAAAGGGACTGGCACGAGCAGGACACTCGGACCCATGCGGGGTGCCTACCCTAGGAAAATATAAGAATTTAAAATATATACAAAAAAAAAAAAGAAAATAAACAAGATCTAGTTGTAGTAAGAGGAAAATCTAATTGTAGGAGAATCTAATTGTACAAAATTGTCATCTAAATGTAAAGAAATCTAAAGGAAATGAAAAATAAAATGTGTACATACACAATATCTCGCGATGTATTTAACAATTATTCCACGAGCGCGCGTTGAATGCATTGATCAAGTGCAGGCAACAGTAAACAATTCAGGTAACATCGAGAAACTTCTAATTACCAAAGAAGCATATTGGGGCGCACAGCTGTTCTCTCTGGCACCCTTCGGCTTGAATAAGCGCCAGGAATTTCACTCCAAAAAAAGAATAAACTATAATTAATGCGGAGAGTTTTTTCAAATTGGGCGGGCATCAAAGGTTCCAGTCTTAGCGTAAATTGGGAATTTTAGTACAATTCTCGCCTTTCAAGTCCACGCTGGTTCCTTTACATTTTCAGTGGATTCGACAATTTTTCCATTTCTTTTTATAGTGATAATTTTTCGAGTAGTAATTACTGTGTTTGTTAATGTGTCACCACGCCCTATATAAATCTATTTAAGGAATTTTTAAGTCATTGTATTACAACTGATGAAGGTCTCAGACCGAAACGTTTTTTATTAAAGTTTTTAGACTTTTTATTGAGTATATGTCTTCCTTCGCTCGAGGTTGTCCGTCCTCGTGTGCCATACTACTATATATATATATATATATATAATCAGTTAGTGACATGAACATTTGCGAGATATTGACCATACATGAGCAGACCTTGTCCTCATCGAAGACATTCATTAAAAGAGACTTGTACAAGTTCTTCAAAAATGCTTTAAAACAGCCAACTGAGGCAAAACCACTAGAGAAGGCTCATGTTTATTGCATAAGTTGTTCCGCAGTTTTACAATTCGGACACAATATGAGGCTTGCAAAGTGCTGGTGAGATAACTGCCAGCCATTGATCTTGAATTTTTTCTTCTATAATGTTTTCATCATAGCTGTCTTTGGTCAGTCAGTTAGTCAGTTACCTAATGAGTAGGTCAGTCAGTGATTCTGGCAGCCAATGACTCAATCAGTCAAAAAGGGGTCAGGAGCCCATTACTTGAGTTGAACGATCCATGTAATGGGCTCCTGAGGAGGTAAGGTTCTAAAGAAATTGAAGCGCGCGTGAAGCGGGGGCGGGGGGGAGAGGATTGGTATTACAAAACATTTGGTGTTATCAAATGAGTTGACAAGGCAAATTGTCCATCGTAAAGACATTCTAGAACTGACGTTTCGAGAGTTAGCCCTTCGTCAGGGAATTTGTCAGTCGGTCAGTGAACAAGTCAAACAGTTAACCAATTAGCCAGACAAGCAGACAAGCAGACAAGCAGACAGCTGGTCAGCCAGACAGCCGGACAATTGATAAGTCTGTTTCTATATTTTTTGGTCGTTAATACGTCAGTCAGTGCATCAGTCAGCCAGATAGTCGGAAAATTATTGTTTAGTCAAGCAGATAAGCAGCCCATTCGTCTGGCAACCACCCAGTCAGCCATTCACTTGCTTGGCAACCTTGCTAATCAGTTAGTCAGTCAAGCAAATTACAATCAACTTGCACCTTATCAAAAGTAATGCATGAAATTTACTTTACCTTCTTTCACGTTAAACAAACAAGGAAAAACATCACTTTTACATGCAGCCTCTTCACTACTGTCCCACATTCCGCATTTAATAACCGCGCCTGGTAAGGTAGAGGGCTGGGGAAGAGAGTCCAGTTCCCCAGGGACATTGTACCTCGGAAGCCACGTGATTTTATAGTCACCGTCTTGGTTCACGATTAACTTGTATTCTTCCACTCGAATGGCTGCAAATCGGCGAATAGGATCAATGTTGTGAAGAACCTAGGAGGTGATAAATAGTTTTAATTATAAGCTGGGTTTAAAACGTGATTTTCGTCCAGTGTAACGCATCCTTGTAGGAAAATTGTGGCAAGTAAAATCATTGAAGTTTTTGCCTTCAGAAGAAACTGAATGATAATTGAAATAAACATCACTTAAAATTTTTCATCGCAAGAAAAACTGTACCTCCGTCCTCGGAGATTTCTTCCCATTCGCAATGGTCTCCCATACATTCATACCGTCGATCTTATCTTGTATTTTAGTGACGTCACCTCCGGCCAGATGATAGAAGGTCGGTAACCAATCTGTGACGTCAATCAAATCATAACTAACACGTCCTTTGTTCTCGATGAGCTTGCTATGAACGAATCCTACTCCACGAACTCCTCCCTCCCAGAGTGTGTCCTTGCCCCCTCTGAGTGGGTAATTACATCCCGAGTTCCTAAATTAGAGAGAGGGCATGGGAATGAGCGGCAATGGAAAAATTTCAAAGCTCCTCTAAGACACCTCTGAGATGAAAAATTTGCTCTTTTTCCCACTTGTCTCTGGTATTATTTTTTGGCAAAAATCGTATCATGCAAATTGTTGCACCTCCTCTTTTAGAATAAAGCTGATATCTTAGCAAAGATATTTCATAGAAACTGTCCGCCATTGCCAAACTATTTAAAATTTAGTTGCCTATCTGTGTGCGGTTGCAGTATTTTCTCACCAGTTAAATCCCCATGGAGCGCCCCCATTGTCTGTCGTGAAGACAATTACAGAGTTATCAAACATTCCATTTTTCTTGAGAGTTTTAGTAATATTTCCAATGGACTCGTCTAATGAAGCCACCATGGCAGCGTAAATCCTTCTGTCTTCTTTTGAAAAACGCTGGAATTTCTGAAGAATGAAAAAGACCTAAATTTAGACAGAACCACAGACCGCTTGCCACACTGAAACCCAACAGACGATCGTTTTTAAAAACTGAACTCCTTACATGGACCTTATTCTATTTTTTCAAACTCTTCTTGGACTCGATGTGTCTGGTCTCCTGGGAAAAATGTTACATGCATATTCCGTTTTGTGGGAGCAGTTTGTGAAGAATGGACAATTAAACGCCAGATGGACGTCAAAGTGAGCACATCTGCGATACAGGATTGGTTGTTTCTTGATGCTCCAGGCATCTTCGAAAAGTGGAATGATCTAAAAATAACTCGACATGAGTCAGGACTATTTGTGGGTTCAGTCTCAATTCATACTTTTACTTAATTTAAATTTACATATCTTGGTTTCCTTTGAGCCTCGAGTTTATATATAACCTGTTTAACTTACGTCCAGTATCCTTTTTGGAGCTTGTAAAGGCTCTTTTGGATTTCCCGAATGAACCGCTTGATGTGCAAGATAAAGATATAGAGGCTCGGACTTGTCATGAGAGTCAATGACTCTTTCAGCCACCTCTGTGAATAATTCTGTCCCATAATGGCCACTCTCGTTCTTTACGGGCTGTAGAACGAAAAGATAAAGTAATTGTGTTCTGTTGGAAACTGTATGATACGTAATTAGGGTCAATTTGATAGACATTATGATTAATTTCGTTTGTCTTTTACAGAATCAAGGAACATGCAGGCGGCACGTGTTTTTCTCCCATTTATGGCCTTGTTCCACGTTCCTGTATTACAACGTTTTTCAGTCTTTTTACTCAAATAAGTGAGGAGTTGTGTGTGGGAGTTCACAGAAGCGTTGTAACAGAATCGTAAAATCAAGTTAATCAACCGTGACTTATTAATTAATTAATAATTAATTAATTAATTAATTAATTAATTAATAGTGGTGCACGTTTTCGACAATTCAAGAATTGAAGTAACCATTTATTGCGACGTTAATTCAAGCAGTTTTCAAGACGGTTCCTACTTCCGAAGATTTTCCGTTAGTGTCAATGTGTTGGTCTGTCACTTGTACCCAGGGCACTTTTTTTTGAAAAATGTTGGTATCGTCCTCACCGCTAGACACGCGAAACAACTTATGGGAGAGGATAAACGTAAATTGAAGAATTACACCGATGAAATACTTGGCATTTTCAGGTCTGAATTTCTGATGTGTTAATAGGGTCTGGGATCTAGCAAGCGTCATAACTGGAACATCGTCACTTTCACCTTCATGTTATTTCGGAGATCTGTCCCCCATATATCTTCAAATGATGTGTGGTCCCAGAAGTCCTCTTTACCATTCCAAAATCCATAGAAAGACTCAAATCCGCGGTAAGTTGGAGTGTATTCCTTTTCAAAAAACCCTAAATGCCACTGAAAGAAAAAAAATCAACTAAGAAAATTAAATGGATAACTATACTTTTAGTTAGAGGTAAAAGAAAATATTGATTTGAAAATCAATGTCGAATAAAATCAACTAATATCATGGGCTCCTGATTGTATAAGATTTTGACAGAATCTCTGATCATGAGATATCCATTTGTTTTTCCATCTTTATTAGGGCTTATTAAAGATCTATTAAGCAACAAAGAGATACCGAACGTGAACGGAACTTCCATTAAGTGGAAACCATCTAAAGCATGAATAAGGAGATTTATAACATTCGCCCTTTTTAGACAAAAAAAACAAAGGCAGAAAACACACATCTTTAACTTGGAGCCTAGTCAAAGATGTTACAAATCGCTAGCAACATTTCAAAGTCAAACGAATGGCTCTTTTTCCACTTGACAGTTTCTCGTCAAGATTTAATTTCGCGAATCCGTTTTTATCTGGGGAGGGGGGGTGAGGGGAGGGGGGAAGGAAGGGAAGGAACGGAAAACCCGGAGAAAAATTCGTAGTAAGAAGGCGAATTCTTCTAAACATAGTGCCATCCTTACGCGTACTTCCCCTTCGTTGGTTGATATGATATTTTTACCTTCCCCACTCCATGTGTCCTGTAGCCCAGTGCCTTGAGGTACTGTGGAGTTGTAACCTCGCCTAAGGGAAGACCGTACGGCTGGGTACCAAATATGGTACCATGTTGAACACCTGTAACCATGGAAACATTATAAGAATACATTTATTCACTACTTTCACAGTTCTTAGTCATGGGGAAGGAACTTTTCGGGGTGGTGAGGTGAAGTGTTATTTGAAATATAAAAGATGGTAAGGAAAAGGTTTTTAGTCGGAAACACAGCAGATTTCAGATAAAGTATAGTTTCCAAATTTACTAAAGACTTTTACAAATGATTTGACTACTTGTAGAAATAAAATTTGAAAAGAAACAAAGATAAACAAAATTTTCGCGCAACGATGTGGCACCAATTTTTTTATATGTAGTTTTAACAGCCCTTTAAAATTTGTTTTTTAATTGAACTTTCTGACGCGACTAGCAACTAACCCATTTCCAAGGAAAAATAGTGGGGGAAGTATACAAAACTATAGTTTTTCAGAGGAGAAAATTTTCTTTCCAACGATGACATTTTTTTTTTTATTGACGGGAGACCCCCTGCGGAACTTTGAAGGAGTTCCGATTGACTGAGACTCTGATGATGACTTTTGCTCAGGTTGTCGAAACGCTAGTTACACCTACCCGGACGATCAGATCACACTATCATAATATTAATAATATTGATAACAATAATATTGGTAAAGACTGTGAATATATGAAAATTATATGGGTAAACGGCAGTTTAAGAAATGGATATGAAAGCGATCTTTATAGATTTCAAACAAGGCAAACCATAGCCATTCAAACGCAACTTTAAGAATATCAAGGTTTAAATCACGGTTCAGTAGACGCCAAAGTACAACAGGTCAATAAGGAATAGCCTAGATGATGTGATTTGGTAGATTTCGTAGTTATTCTTTACGTAGTTGATTTATGTAGAAGTTGTCAAGGATCGCCGATTGTGAATTGTTGATTGAAGATCGTTGGTTTGAACCGAGGATAAAAAGGAAAAATATTTCTGAGAATATATACCTATTACAAGCGTAGAAGTAAATTCTAAATCCCGATTGATCACATCTTGACCGACTAAATGATCTATTTATTATGTAAAAAGTATTTGTCATCTTATTATGGTCTCCTAAGGCTTGCTTGTTCAGTAGTAGAGAAAAATAGAGAAATATTTGTTAAAAACTGAGGAGAGTTTGGTAACAATTGAGAAATGTTTGGTGACAGCTAGGGAGAGTTTGGTAAAAATGAAGGAGGCTTTTATTACAACTATGGAAAGTTTGAAGACAATTCAGGAGGGTTTGTTCTCAACTAAGGAGGGTTTGGCGACAACCAAGTAGAGATGGCGACAACTACGGAGGGTTTGGAAAAAAGGAGAATCGCAAAACTGAAAGGGAAAAAAAGGGAACATACATGGGAAATGAGACTGGATGGAAAGATAAATTGCTTGAGGTGTCCGAACTAGTCCGATATTTATGGTCTATCACTCTTAATACACAGTATTACTAAGAATAAAAACCTGTCATATCATTAAAGCTGCTTTTCTAGGATGCTCTTTTAAATTTGCTTAAAGAAACTGTTTTATGGAGTCCATGGGAAAGGCTGTTCCATAACGTAGCACCCATATGGGAAAAGCTTCTCCTCAAATAACGGTAGTTGGTGTGGAATGGCCATTTGATTCTTAGAATTCCTCAGTCGGTACGAAGTAAAATCATTTTGGGGTATAATTATAAACCAAGATTGTGCATCATACTGAACAGAGGTGGACTCTGTCTCTGATGTTTTTTTCCCCAAACTAGATTGCAGGTACCTACCTAAATTGACCGGGTGTTTTCCAGTCATGATGGAGGACCGGGTGGGAGTACAAATTGGTGATACGTAATAACTGTTAAGGATCACTCCATCATTGGCCAGTTTGTCTATATGAGGCGTTGGGATCTGGCGAGAACCGTGAAAACTGACATCATCCCAACCCTGCAATTGAAAGATATTAAGGAGATTTAGCAAAGAGTTTACGTGTAACTTGAACGGCAAGAGTGACCACGTGGCCTTGTTTTTCCCGCCGTTTTTTAACGTTTGCCGGTTGCACTTTGCCGTTTTCTTCACTACTCTCACCGAGTAGTACTTTATTGCCGGAAAAAGGGCGCCAAACCTATTCTTTGTAAGTCACACATGTGTGCCTTCAAATCTATCATGACGTTAGCTCACGCCAAGCCAAAGCAGCAAGTTCCACGCTTTTTTACCTGAAACGTGAAAGGGCAAGCTGACGTTTGCTGTTTCATGTAAAACGCGGCGCCAAATTTCTCTAATGACATCATCTGAGTTAAAATCAGCGAGCCTAGGCAAGTATGAATCGTAAAAATGGCTAAATCCTTTTTCAATTCTTAGGGAGCAGCCATTATTTATCTACAGGGGGGGGTAGTCTTTAGGGGGAACGGATGAGGGGGAATCAGTAGTCGCCTACAGAGTATAAAGGGGAAGGGACGGAGGATTATAAAAATATCGCAGAGCCTTAAAGGGAGGGGGGGAGCATCAGGTAAATCTTGTCAGCCCCAGGCAATAAATAATGGCTTGTCCCTTAATGAAATATCAATATCCGCCGGGAAGCGAAAGAGGTGGATCAAACTGAGCCACGAACACTAACAGACTCACGCATGAGTAAAGAAGAGCAGTCGTTTGGAAAGTGATGTGGTCACTTTCGAGGCGGAACGTCACGTTTCAGCTGCTTACAGCTGGTCTCCTTCATGCAATAATGTCGACCGGTGACTCTCGAGCTCCTTTGATTAGTTTGTCTTAAACACATGTGACTAGCACGTGTTACCTAAATGTCTTGATAGACCTGACCAGAAGCCGCACAGAAATGTCCACGTGAGCAAATTTCTCGGCGCAGAATAGCTAGCTCTTGACCCTCCTAAGATTCGCGACAACTGGACTGATCTTATAGTTACTTAATAAGGATAACCCCAAGTCAACTCTTAATCAAATAGAGCGAAACTCTTTACCAGATCATCAGCGACAATCATAATAATGTGGGGTCTGGGTGCTTTCCAAGTTGGCTTCTTCTTTGGATGCGACTTCTTTTCCTTCTTTCCAAGCACGTGATGTGAGTTTAAAACCACAAAAATGAGGCTGAAATGCAAAGTTATGAAGTTATATTTACTTTTTGTGTCGACTGCCAAATTGATATCCATTTCTTTGCTTTTAGAAGTTCTCTATGATTTACATCTTGTGTTTAAACGGTATTTTTCCGGAATCATTGCGTGCTGACTCGTCACTATTGACTAAACTTTCCCCGATGAAATAACATTTTCCTGTAAACAGCCTAAATTTTACAGCATAATCTTACCACACTAAAAGAATTCACATAAAACTAAATGCCACCATTAGCACGGTAAATTTTCCACCCAACTCTCACGTGCTTTGACGCTTTCTACCAATCAAATTCGCCTTTGTTCAGACAACAGTGAGAACAAACCACAAAATACGTCATGTAAATTGGAAGGTTTTTACTCTCTATGGAACGGCATTTTTATTGTAAGTTTTGAAATTTAATGCTCTTTTTTTTTCTTTTACAAAATTCAAAGCATCAGTTATTCATCATTTAAGTGTCCATCTCAATCCACCCATCTATGTTCATCTAATGCTGGAGCTGGTTAGAAAATTGTGTTGAGACACTACTTGGCTGGATGTCAAGCATATCAAAGTAAAACAAAGCGAACAGAGTGGAGACATTTCATTCCAATGCATAGCTGTAGCGAGTTTCCATACACAAGCAAAACCAGATAAAATTTCTGAAGTTCGTATACACGTTTAGTTGGTCGGTTCTTTACAGCAACTGACATTATCGGCTGCGGTTTATTTCACACATCAAAACAATTCATTTTGAAAAGTGATCAGTCAAATTAGAACAAATTAAAACTGGTGTCATGTGCACTTCTTGTCAAATTCATTTTAAAAGAAAAAATATAAAACTTCTATATTAGAAATTCACTGGTCTTAACTTTCCTCAAGCAGTTGTATACTCTTCAACGGGAAGATTCCATCTTAGATCGCAATTCACCAAAAGCAAAACATCAAACTGAAATCAGAGGTTCGAATTCACGGCTGTATCGTGAACAGGTATTCTACCCTGATTTTAATTGCTTACCTGCATGTCTAGTTTTTACCACCTGAGTAATTATAGGTTAAAATAGTTTTAAATAGCCCCAGGAAAATAATTAGGCTACAGTTCTTCACAGAATGTGCGGCCACAAACTAAGAGGTCATTAAAGATGGGGCAATTGACATGCATATATCACTATGTTAGTTGTCTATGTTTTTTTTTTTGGTGCGAGTTGGAAGTTTAAAATTTTTTGCTGGTGAAAGCTGTTGACAATTCGGTTAATTAGCCTGCTATGGTAGGAGATCACAAATTAGCGTAAATTTGCCCAGTGCCGTTTCTGCTCTGTAACGGGTCTTGACGACAGAAATAACTAAGAATTCGAATCGCAGAGGCTCTAAAGACTGTTTCAAATTTAAGGTGTTAAATGCTTAAACGAGCTTTGGGATTTTATATTTAAATATTTGTTTTTTCCAGACCGATTCGACTTAGTCGCCAACGCGATGTTTTTGTTCAATAATCATACTTACTAAAAGTTCCAAAGTAAGTTGTACCAAACTCTCCGCGATTCCATCACAAGGCGTTTGTCCGAGGAGATAGACAATACATCGACGTTATTCCAATCACAACAAAACAAACAAAATTGTCTTTTCACTAAGGCATCGCTTCTGTAATCAATTATTAATCGATGCCAGTCATGATAAGAGGCTCTTCTCTGTGGACGCTCTGTTTGCCTAAACCTAGCCTGAAGTAGTTGTTTCCTCTTCAGATCGGCGACGGAACTCCCTTGTGGATCTTATTGGTAAGCTGTTATTCGGTTGAGAGCAGGTTGGGAAAAGACCGGTACTGGACTGAATGATGTTTAAAATTGTTTTACTGAGCGAAGGCGTGTTTGTAGTCAACCTCTCAAGTCTAATGGGGGGAGGGGGGCGGGGGAGTTGTCTGCCGGAGTCCTCCCTATTCAAACCTATGAGTATTTTTACTAGCTCACTAAACCGCACCTAAATTTACTTATTTTGAAATATTTCTTGGCTCATTCAGGCTTTAATGTATTCTGAATAAAAGTTCATCAACTTTTCATAATTATTCAAACTAATTTTTAACAAAGAAAAGAATCTAATTAAAACGTTCTTTCCCACGAACACTCTGCTTCTCCTTAAAAGTGAACAATTTTACAAAAATTACATTCTGGCCAGGACCTTAGCAAAACCTTGTAACCTTAACAAAGATATACTATTTGATAACCTTTTATATACAGTAGTAGTTTTTTAAAGCTTGTTTAACGTTATCTCGGAATTCTTGTCTGCGCCAGAAGTAAATGAGAGGGTTTAAAGACGAGTTAAATAAAATGATGGAAGTGGAGATCAAATTAAGAAACATGACAGCTCTGCTTCGCGCAAGTAAAGTGTTAGCGATTATAGTCAGGCAACCAAAGGGCAAGAAACAAAGCAAGTGCGCGAAACACACGTAAAACGTGTTTACAACCGACCTTCGTAATTGTTTCAAGTTTGCACTTATGTCTGTACTTCCCATTTGATTGTGAATCTGAACCTGCTGCCGTCTCAAAACCAGAAAAATTTTACTGTAGGCGAGGCAAATGAGACTCAGGCAAACTATGACAATGATCAAAGCGATAACAAGGTAGATTCGAAAATCCGCCATCCTTGTTAATGCAAGAAGCCCTCTTGTGATCCACAGTGAAATCTGCAGATAAATCACCTTTTTCTCCGTGACGAACTCCTTGTATCTTAAATGAAAATGGATCGCCAAGTATCTGTCTAAGCTAATGGCTGTGATTGCAAACACAGAAGTTACAACCAGAAACGACGAAACGGATGTGTAGAAAACTACCATGGTACAACTGACAGGCGAAGCCAAGTAAAGCTTGAACAAGATTGTAATATACAACGGTTCTAAAACCAAGCCTACTCCAAAGTCAGCAATAGCTAAGCCGAGAAGCAGAAAATTCGCCGTCGAATACAAAGCTGGAGAGCGAAAGATGCTGATAATAATTAGAAAATTTCCCACTGTGGTTGTAATGGCCATGAAGCAGTTAAAAAATGCGGAAATGAGAAGAGAAACATCCGTTTGAAGAAACATGAGGTATGGAATGTCATTGGCACAGGAAACATTGACTGTCGCCATTAGAAGTAATTTTTCGTAGGAGCTAAATGAACAGCTTTCAATTTCTCTTGAATTTTTATTAAAAATCATTTCCATTTGTTTACATGGAGAGCAACTGTACAAGTTGTCCGTCAAACCAACACTTCAAAAGGTTATTAAAATTATATTTGTTTGGTCGTTGCGGCTTCCAAATGTGATTCCACTACGAGAATAACAGAACCACACGTGTACACACCGTTTTAATTTTAATTAAATACATTGTTTTCGTGACTTTCTCTGCCAGTAATTATATTTCGGTGAAGCAAATGTTTTCTTACGCAACTTTCTCTCTGTGTGAAATAATAGGGACCTTAAACAGCCAGGACGGCCGCCAAGGAAGACTTCGATTAAAAAATGAATTTCTCCTCTTAGTTAGAATTTCAAAAATAGCTGCATGAGCTTATTGTCTCATACGGCGCCACATCTCAACTTCAGTATGACGTATAAAAGTAGCGTTGAGTCCAAATGGAAATTAAAATAATTTGCCGTCGCGGTTTCGGTTCGCAGACGACGCAAATTTTGGCGATTTCACGTTGTTGTTTTGCATAGGACGGCTAAGAAATGTACAAAGTTTCAAAATGCACGTGCTGAGCTATTGTTCTGCCAATTAGATCTCTTGGTTTTCTACTTCCTCGTTGCCGTCGCCGTCGTGGTTGCTTAAGGTCCCTAGAAGTGATTAAATATAACGAACAGAATTAGTTACTTTTATTAGCACTGAAAGTCATGCCCGCTAAAGATATTTTGTATACTTTCACTAGTTGACCGAACGTTCTCCATATCTCAGAAAACGAAATATCTTGTGTCTGAGTTGTTCTGAACACTTGTCATGGATGCCTCTTTTTATTAAAGACGCTAAAACATTTATTCCCATTTGAATAATGTCACCAGTGCAGCTTTAGGAGATAAGACCGTTGCCAGTCTATGCTTCATCATTTAAAACACCGGAAAAATCAACAAGGGTTCACCCTAGCTATTGAAGACTAAGCCAGTGTTTTGTCAGTGGGCAAAATTTATGTAAGAAAGTTATTGATAAAAATTTAATGTAGGTTACCTCACTTGGCTCGTTTAAAATTTTCGATAAAATTGCCAAAAATTACTTTCTGTTTTGCAAAATATTTGAGTAAAACGCAGTCACGCTTTCAGCATGTGTAATGAAATATTTACCGCAGCAAACTTTGCAAATCTTGCAGAAGCACTGTCACATGGAATGCGAATGGATCCGTAATAAATTTGATGGCCTATATCAAAGGACGTCATAGAGGGTCAAATACACAAGTTTATTAGACAATGGTCAAAAAACCTAAAATATTTCATGTAAGCTGGGATATTTGGAAATTCTCTGAAAAGGGTAACGATTTTTCACGTGAGGTGTGAATTCCTCGAATTTATCGCGGGGGGGGGGGGGGGGCAAGAGGCCCTGTAATATCCTTATCATACCCCTGTCATTCGCAGTTAATTTGCAGTCAATTTTCTTGTCCCTCCTTTATACTTTGTTAGCAACGGATGATCCCCCCCCCCCTCCGTTTCCCCTGATAATCATGTTTTCCCTTCCAAAATTCTCCCCTCCCGCGCCCAGGGGATAAATAATGTCTGGTTCCTCAATCGACCCAATGGTCGGATTTACACTGCATGGAAAATTTATGATTACTGTTTCCAGCTACCACTCTCACTAAAATTGAGGTTATTAATCGTATGTACCGCACAGAAACCTAAAAAAATTATTATATTTCGATCAATATACTGAAAAATTATCTGAAATTGAGCTCAAACAGGCGATTTTGTCTCTTCGGCTGTTCGGAGGTAAACCATATTAACCACTTCCACACTAGCCAATCAGCGCACGCGTTAAAGCACTATGCACCTGTTTGGTTTAGACTAAAAATAACTGTAATAATAATAGAAATGTTATTGGTTTCATCACAAGTGAGGAAAAGGACGAAATCTGAGTACTCCAAGACTTGCGGATTCCACACTTTAACTCCACCTAGGCTCAGATAAATTATGCCGGTATAATTTTGGGCATAATGCTGTTTGTCAGTGCATCGTGCACATATATTGTTGGCATAATGGTTAAACTTTTTAAAAATTCTCCTGGTCAGTCACAGTTCAACAAGAGTAAAATTCTGTAGCCTGAGCACGCGGTCAACAGTTAGCCTGCTTGTCTACCTTGCACCTTAGCAATTTAATCTTGTAATTATAAAATGTTGTGTTCTGAACTTCCGTAAGCTTTTTATTCTTAGCAAGTTTTACTTGTTGGTGGTAGGAATGGAAGGCGGGGGAGGTCGTGGGGGTTTTAACTTAAAAGCTGTCATAAGCGTGATGAAATATTTTCAGCATAATTTTCGGCCAAAAGATCATAATCTCTTGTGCCAGCATAATGCCAAGTTTTCACAGGTGACGCTCAAAAGAGCAATGCTCAAACTTTCCGGAGCATAATTTGTCGGACCCTTCTACTACTGAGTTGTGGTTTTCTATTCTTCATGGGGCGCTCATATTTGTTTCCTTGTCACACGTTCGTGAAAAAACGAATAACACCTGTGTTTATTCCATGACTTTGCTCAATATTTACCATCTTCCCTATTCGAAAAAATGGCAATAACATCAAAAATCATTTGAAAGGGTAATAATAAGATTAACAATAATAGTAATAGAAATGATAATGACCAATCATAACAAGAATTTATAATTATAGTGGCTTTTTATTTTTTTTTTCAAGTCTATTATTTTGTTTATTCCGATGGAGACTTATTAAGAGTTCAGAAACCATTTGGACAAAAATCTCTTCAAGTTAATAAAATTTTGTATACGTGTCTACGTGTGCCCGTCGATCGCATTCAATTTAGGTTGAAATTTTCAACCCTTAGTAGTCGTATACAATGAAATATATGAAGTTCATATATTTTGAACTGCGGTATTAGATACATATGGTGTACGATCCTCGCAGTAGATAGCGCTATTTAAGCAATAGCGAAAATCAGACCTGAAAAAAATCAGGCCTGTACGGGATTCGAATCACTGACCTCTGCGATACTAGTGCAGCGCTCTACCAATTGAGCTAACAAGCCAACTGGGAGCAGGCCGTTAAGTTGATTCGTAATAAACCCGTGAAAGTGATAAATCAGATACAATGAAATATATGAAGTTCATATATTTTGAACTGCGGTATTAGATACGTATGATGCACGATCCTCGCAGTAGATAGCGCTATTTAAGCAATAGCGAAAATCAGACCTGAAAAAAATCAGGCCTGTACGGGATTCGAACCACTGACCTCTGCGATACTAGTGCAGCGCTCTACCAATTGAGCTAACAAGCCAACTGGGAGCAGGCCGTTAAGTTGATTCGTAATAAACCCGTGAAAGTGATAAATCAGATACAATGAAATATATGAAGTTCATATATTTTGAACTGCGGTATTAGATACGTATGATGCACGATCCTCGCA